CTAACTTTTATCGAGATCGGTTCCGATTTGGATGTAGCTCCCATATATATCTTTATCCGATTTCAAGTTGATTGTGCACCAAATGGGTAATACAAGTCCGAATTTAAAAGATACAAATGCTTCGGCAGATTCAGTCCTTTGAACTTTAAATTATAATCATAGCGTGTATGAACTTTTAATTGTTATGCGGAGCTCTACTAAATTTGCCAAGTGGTGTAGGGTATCATAAAGTCGGCCCCGCCCGACTTTAAGGCTTTCTTTACTGGTTTTTGTTATATATTGAAAATTATTTTCTGTGGAAATATTGGCCCGTTGTGAGGGAGGTATCAGAAATAGTGGACCGATATTGCCCATTTCCAAACTCGATCTAAGTTTGATAATAATATTAATACGATGCAACAAGATTATACCCTCTGTAGCCATATGACTGAGGATATACAAATGCAGCACTATTTGATATGGCCAAAACGTGATTAATCGAAATAGCGATTTTGGACCCTAGGTCTCTTTGGACAAAATCCGTTGCAGGACATTTGGAGTCGATCTATGGGTGTCCATATTTCTGTCTATCTGGCTGGCTGGTGCACACATAACTCTGGAAGAGATATGGCCCAAACTTGCTAAATCGTAATTAATTATTATCAGACCAAGATCGTGTTTGGAAATGGGCAACATTGGTCCATTATTTCTGGTACCTCCCCCACAAAAGACTAAAAATGTCAAAGTTGTCAAAAATGTTTTAACTCCTTAAAACAGAAAGGGTCATTCGATTTTGTGCGAAATATCCCAATATTTTTATCAATGCTAAGTCGGGTGCTAAACACAATGGACAATATCGGTCCACTGCATCAAGTATCTCCCCCGCAAAATGTCAACATTTAAAATAATTATAATTTTTATGAAATGTAATATTAAATTTGAATTCTCTTCAAATTACAAACATTCCAATATTTTTTATTAACACAAGATCTGAAGATGGTAGATATAGACTTACCCCTTCTGGTACGTCCTCCTCAAAGGGTCAACATTTTAATTAACCAAAACGTAAAATCATAAAATTCTCTTTACAATACATATGACCTCTTCTTCTGGTACCTCTCCCCCAACGGGTCAAAATTGTGAATAGCGATGAAGATCATACAACGCGAATATGTATGTCTCTAAAATCATCAAAATACCGAATATTGAGAAGTACCGCTATATGTGGTCTGCACGAAGACATGGACCTACATAGACAATTGTCCGTCATAGGTTGAAGTATTCATTAAGAACTTAAAATACGAAATTCGAAAGAATTCCGGTGAATAATGTCGCTAAAATAATTATAATACCCAATAAAGGGAGGTATATTTGGGCTCAACGAAGATTTGAATCTGCATAAGCGATTATTTGTTATAGGCTATAGTAACCATTAGGAACTTTAAATACGAAATTCGAAACAATTGCGGAAAAAAATGCTGCTAAATCATCAAAATACCGAATATTGGGAGGTACTGTTGTATGGGGGCTATACGAGAACGGGGACCGACATGGACTATTTATGCAGAAATTTCAATATTCGAGGGGTATGCGACACTTCTGTCGTTAGAAACATACAATCCATGTTTCAAACAATTCTATTAAAAAACAGTAAAGAAAGTCCCAAAGTCGGGCGGGGCCGATTTTATGATACCCTACACCACTTAGCTAATTTAGTTGAGCTCCACATAACAATTAAAAGTTTTTATGGCAGAATTCAATCATACACCCTATGATTATAATTATAATTTTAAATTCAAAGGACTAAATATGCCGAAGCATTTGTATCTTTTATTAGACGTTTGGTGCACAAAAAAAAAGTAAATCGGACGAAGTTATATATGGGAGCTATATCCAAATCTGAACCGATCTCGATAAAATTTAGCAAATGTATTTCTGAGCTGCATTTGATATATTTCCCCAAATATTGTTGTTACAGAGTGCATATTACGGCTGCGGAGGACAAAAACAACAAATCGGATGAACAATATATATGGGAGCTATAGCTATATCTGAACCGATTTAGTTCAAATTTGGCATACTTATTTTCAGGCCTAATCTGGTTGTATGTGCAAAATTCCATACTATTCGGGCTGATATTACACGTTTGGTGTACAATAAAAGGCAAATCGGACAAAGATATATATGGGAGCTATATCTAAATTTTTACCGATTATCTCCGATTTCAATAGGATTCGTTGTTGGGCCAAACAAATGTTATTTGGAAAATCTCATCTCAATCGGATAATAAATGCGACCTGCACTTTGTTCACAAGAATACATGGACAGACGGACGGACGGACAGACAGACGGACAGACGGACGGACGGACAGACGGACTGACATGCATAAATCAACTCAGAAAGTAATTCTATGCGGATCATCAAAAGGAACTATGGGTCTATCTCGTTTCCTTTTGTCTGTTACAAACAAATGCACAAAGACATAATACCCTGACCAGCTTGTGGTGTAGGGCTATAGTCATTTAAATGTGGCTATAATGGCTATAATCATTAAAATACAGAATATCGGGAGGATGTGGGTTGTTCTGACTTAAATGGTCAATGTTTAGCCACAGTAGGCAAAACATTTTATGAACTCCGAGTACGGAATTTTCAGCGATTCCGCTAGAAACTGTTTCTAAAATATATGAAACAAGTAAAAAAACATTAAGTTCGGCCGGGCCAAACTTTTAATATCCTCCACCTTAGGGTAAAATAAACATTAGGAGAAATGTGGCAAAAACCATTAAAATGCCGAATATCGGGAGGTACCGTTATATGGGGGCTACACCAAAACGTGGCCTTATAATTATAATGTTTCGCCACACGAACTAGGACCCATTATGACCTACAAATACCAATTTTCAGACAAATCCGTGAAAAAATGTGGCATAAATCATGAAAATACCGAATATCGGGAGGTACCGTTATATGGGGATGTTACAAACGGAATGACAAAGTTAATATACCCTCCTTTCCAAGGTGGAGGGTATAAATATGGACTTATATAGACAACTAGATGAACCCGGTGCGCTTCGCTACCCCTTTTGATTTTATATGCATTCAAAATTTTATTTACGAATATATGTTGGATAAAGAAAAACAAATTTAAAAATTAAAAAAGAAATATTGCACTAATTTAATGCGTTAATAAACAAAATCATTACAAAAGCAGTAACATGACATGTATACACGAAAGGTTTGTCCTTTGGATTTATTTATTTCATAGCAAATACCAAGCGTGCAGGAAACTGCAATTTTTTTAAGTAGAGTGGTATTTCTATTGTAATTAGTGAATTCGAGATAGCAACATACTTCGCCGTAATAAGCGTATTTCAAATAAATTGTTGTGTTGTTTTTTAGTGTTAGCCTAAGGCGTTGTGGGTCAATGGTTCTTATTAAAATCATATCCCAATCTGATCCGATTTAAATATAATTATAAAAAAAATTACTTTTACACCAAACTCCGCCACACCTTTCATATTTCATTGAAATTGGTGCAATATATATATGGGAGCTATATACAAATCTTAACTAATTTCCAATTAATTTGTTACATTTATTATTGTAACCAAATTCCGCCACACATTCTGAATTTCATTGGTATCGGTCATATATATCATGTTTGGTGCATAACATGTATGAAATCGGCCGAAATATATATGTTAGCTATACCCAAACCTCAACTGATTTCAGTATAATTTGGCAATTTTTTCTGGTGCCAGATTTTGTCTCTCTCGCTTTGGGTGCATCAAATATGTGAAATCGGCTGAGTATATATATGGGAGCTATAATCAAATCTGAGCGTATTTGAATATAATTTGTCAAATTTATTTTTGTACCAAATTTAGCCACTCATGCCGAATTTCATTGAAATCGGAAATACGTATCGTTTTTAGTGCATAAAATAAACGAAATCGGTTGAAGATATATATGGGAGCTATATCCAAATCTGAACCGATTTCAATATAAGTTGACAAATGTATATTCGTTTTCATTTCCGCTACACATTCCAAATTATATTGAAATTAGAGATACATAGCGTATTTGGGGCATCAAATACATGAAATCGGTCGAAAATATATATGGGAGCTATATCCAAATCTGAACCGATTTCAATATAATTTGATAAATTTATTTTCAGATCAAATCCCTTTAAACATTCTAAAATTCATTGAAATCGAACATTCATATCGTGTTTGAGGCATCAAATGAACGAAATCGATCGGAAATATACATGGAAGCTATATCCAAATCTGAACCGATTTCATTATAATTTGGGAAATCAATTTTTTAGATAAAATCCATCACATGTTTCAAATTTCATTGAAATTTGGGATACATAGCGTGTTTGGTGCATCAAATGCTTGAAATCGGCCGAAAATATATATGGGAGCTATATCCAAATCTCAAACGATTTCAATATAATTTGGCAAATTTATTTTTGTTCCAAATTCCGTTACGCATTCCAAATTGTATTGTATCTGTATCTGTAATTGATCATTAGATATGTGCATACAAAATCTCAATTTTTGGGATTCTGATGCTATATCTCCAGTTCCAAGTGGAATTTCAAAAATGTATATAGCCTATGTTACTTTCAGGCGATGTTGTAGTATACTTGGAAATTTTCAGGAAAATCTTTTCAGCGGTTTTCGAGTCCATAAATTACAAACATACAAACATTTTCCTCTTTTATAGATATATATTTTCTTCCATTGGGGCAATCGGTGGCTTCCACACCACTCAGATCAAGATACGAAAATTACAAGTTAGAATGGATCAAACCCTTCACTACAACTAAATCTATTTAAATTGTTTATAACGACATTTGAAATTGAATTGATAAATAATGTTCATTCCTCCAATGCTACTACTTCACTATCTCCCATATTTAAATAACATTCCGAATACAATTTTCATTTGTCTTAACAAGTTGTTTTCATTATTTGTCTTTGTTTTTTCCTCGCTTTATTTGCAGTTTCACAGTACGTAGAACGCCACAGGAGCTTTAAAATCTAACAATATGGACTAACAGAGAGACAAAAAATCCATAGTAAAAACAAACAAACAAACAATTCAGCAAAATAAATAGAAGAAGCTCATGAAAATATTTTGAAAATAAAATAAAAAGTCAACAACAACTACAACAGCAAGATTTCAATGTGGGCGAACGTGTCCCGATACACTTCGTTGGAGCAGCAAAGTGAATAACAAGAATTTGGACAAAACGAAAACAGGAGCAGCAGCAGGGAGTCCGTCAATGAAATTAATTTTAATGAAATCAACAATTAAAGCTTAGACGAAACCAATTTCAAAGAACAACATAATTGAAACAGCTGCGAAAGGGCTGGGGCAGCCAGTGATTTAATGCATCAAAGGAATTGCAGTATTAATTGAAATAAAGCGAAGCGGAACGAAACGAAACGAAACCTTCTAAACTATCGTTGGCATCTGTTTTGCATATTTGCAGGATCTTGCCCCCCTCCTCCTCCTCCTCCAAGCCCTTACTAATTGCCAGCTCTTATTAATCAAATGATTGGGAATGATTCAACACGAGACTGGTGTACAACAGAGGATTATGAATAATCTACACCAGACCCTGGCCACAGTTGTAACCGAGACAGTTGCCGCTGTGATGGCACCCTCCATTATGGACAATAGTAATCCTGTCCCTTATAATAAGCTGGTGACCATGCCGGTCACGAACACAAGCCACGCGGCGACGACGACCAACACGAGCATAGCAAACAGAACTAGTCTCAGTAGTGCGAGCAGTGACAGCATTATTGTCGGCAGCACCGCCACCAGCCACAATCTTTCACAGTCGCATCCTTACGACACATCGGGTCTATTTTACTGGAGCGGTGATGGTGGTGGTGGTGGTGGTGGTGCTGTTGGGGTCAGTGGTGGAGATGGAGGTGGCCTTGGCATTAGCATGAGAGATGAATTCAGTCCTGGTGGCTTTGATCCCTCCTTCGGTTACGATGCAGACAATTCAACCTATTTCTATCACAATTTCAATGGCAGCGATTTCTCGTTCAGCTGCCAGGACCGAGATCCCCTCACAAATCTCACCTATTGGAATCTCACCTGTGATACACCTGTGGATTATGTGGTACCATTGTATGGTTATTGCATGCCGTTCCTGTTAATAGTCACCGTTCTGTCCAATTCACTGATTGTCCTGATATTAAGCAAAAAGAATATGTCAACGCCAACCAATTTCGTATTAATGGGTAAGTTAATAAAGAGACATAGAGAAGAGATGTGTATAGTTGGAATGTGGTTGTATTTAATATATCTGTGTTGAATGCCGTATGAGATGACTTGGTTGTATGACTTCGCCAATTTCATCATCCTTGAACGAAATATTTCCGAGATTAGGTATTCAGAGTAGTGGTGAGGCAGGTAATGGCTTGACAAGGGCGGTTCAATAATCTTGTTCTTGCGAGTGAAATTCGTTATATGAACCCCAAACAAAATGGGAATGCTGAAATGAAATAATTTTGGGAGTATGCATTTAAGTTACTGAAGATACAGACAATTTTTGAGAAGAATGAATAAAATAATCTAAACAACAAGTTAAAAAATATCAGTCGGTTTGGTCTGCACATGTATACCCTCAGTCAATTTTCGTTTGGGAATTCGTACTACAAGGGTACAAAAAGTACTAAATTGTAATAAAAATTGAATAATTAGCATTCGACAAATGGGATGAGTTAGAAAGTTTGGTATGGGTCACAGATGAAGTGCAGGATACATGAACCAAATGGTTTTAGAAAACTCCAACCTTAAGGTTACAAAAAATTCCAAAATGTTACTAGACTTTTAAAATGGTATCACTTTGATATTATGTGAACCGATGGGACTAAAAAACAATGAAATTTGGTATGAGAATCCGGGTTGGAAATTAAATTTGATATACGAAGTTGGTCATGGAATATGTACTTTGTGTGCGAACTATAAAAGAACTTAATTGGAAGAGGTGTTTTTAGTGTGAACGGATGATGCTAAAATTTTGAAATTTTGTATTGGTATCGCTGTTGATTGTAAGTTTGAGAATTGAAGTTGGTTTTTGAAACGTGTACGAAATTGTACGAAATTGTACGAAAAGTACATGATGGTACTATATTTTTTTGGGAAGAAGTGCTGATATAAGTAGGTGTTTTTGGAAATGTGTACTTAGTGTCATAAATGTACTAAATTTAAATCTTGGAATTGTATTCTCTGCTGGTGGGTAGATTTAAGATAAAGCGTTGGGTTTGGAAATTTGGCATTAAGATCAGTTTAAGTGTATAGCATTGAGAGTGGCAGGTGGGTTTGGAAATACATACTAAAAATTACTAAATTGTACTAAATTTAATATTTGAGTGAGAGATTGAATTGAAAGATCAAAATTTGTCATTAGGATAACGTTTTGTGCGGTATGGTTAACACATGGAAGCGGATTTGAAAATACATACTCAAAAGTACAAGAAGTACTAAATAGTATTACCTTTGGCATCTGGAAAAGGAGTCTTTGATGATGAGTAGGAAAGACAAACTAAAGTTTTTTATACCCTTCACCTAGGAAAGGAGGGTATATTAACTTTGTCATCCCATTTGTAACATACTTAAATATTCGTCGTAGACCCCATAAAGTATATATATTCATAATCAGCATAAAATTCTAAGTCGATTTAACGATGTCCGTCTGTCTGTCTGTCTGTATGTCTGTCCGTCTGTCTGTCCGTCTGTCTGTCCGTCTGTTTGTTGAAATCACGATACAGCCCACATTATTTGACGTAGAGCGCCAAAATTAAGTAGAGCAATTTAAATTGTGTCCAGGATGGTTGGTATTGAAAATGAGATATATTGGTCCACGTTTTGGTATAGTCCCCATATAACTGTACCTCCCGATATTCGGTGTTTTGATGGTTTTTGCCACATTTTTTCACGGATTTCTCTGAAAATTGGTAGTTGTAGGTCATAATGGGTACCAGTTCGTGTGGCGGAACATTGCATGTATAGGTCAACGATTTGGTATAGGCCCCATATTACGGTACTTCCCGATATTCGGCATTTTGATGGTTTTTGCCACATTTCATCGCGGATTTGTCTAAAAATTAATATTTGTGGGTCCTAATGGGTTCTAGCTCCATTGGAGAAACATTGTATGTATAGGTCCACGTTTTTGTATACCCCCACATAGCTGTATTTCCCGATATACGGTATTTTCATGATTTTTGCCACATTTTCCCGCGAATATGTCTAAAAATTGGTATTTGTGGGTCATAATGGACTCTAATGTTTCCTTTACCCTAAGGTGGAGAGTATTAAAAATTTGGGCCGGCCGAACTTAATTTTTTTTTACTTGTTTTTTCTTTTCAAATTTCAGCAATACATGTACCAAAAATAATTGATGTAAGGAGGTGGTTTTCGAAATGTGTACTAAGGGTAAGAAATATACTAAATGGTACTAAATTTAGTACAATTCCGTTTTGAGTGAACGGAATAAGCTAATAATAAGAACTGTTGGTATTGGGGTCAATTTTGGCGATAAAGAGGAAATGCGTACTATGAGTGCACGAAAAATACTAAATAGTACTATATTTATTACAATTTGGTATTCAGTGAACGGATAAAGCTTTAAATCTGAAATTCGGTACTAGGGTCGCTTTTCATGTGTAGCCTGAACATATGGAGGTAGTTTCGGAAACGTGTACTAAAATTGTACGAAATATACTGAATAGTATTATATTGGGTATTAGGTGAAAGGATGGAGATACAATTCTGAAATTTGATACTTAGAAAACTGATGGTATCTGTGTTTGTGATTTGGCGGTGGTTTGGAAATACGTCCTATATTTGTACGAAAAGTACTAAATGGTACTAAAATTGGTATTTGGCGAAGGCATAAGCCTGGAATTCGAAAATTTGATTTTGAAGTCTTATTTGGTATCTGGAATTGTGATATGAAGGTGGTTTTGTATTTTAACTGTACGAATAGAACTAAATAGTATTTTTGGTATTGGGTGAATCGATGGAGCCGGAATCCTGAAATTTGGTATGGATGTCACTGTTGGTACCTGTGGTTGTGAGAAGGATCTGGTTTTGGATATACATACTTCATTTTTTCTATATCGTACAAAATTATAAAATGGGCGAAATTAAAGAGCTGAAATCTTGAGATTTGTTATTAAGAGTCACTGTTGGTATCTGATGTTGAGATTGTCTTGAAAGTGTACTTTCACTATACGAAAAGTACTAAATTGGGTATTGTGTGAAGGGATAGAGCTAAAATACCAAAATTTGATATGAATATCACTCTTGGTGCATGTTGTTGAGAGATGGAGGTGGTTTTGGAAATTCGTACAATGATTAGTTGAAAATTATCAAATGGTACAAAATTTGCGTTGTGTGAGTGGATAGAGCATAATATTTAGTATTGACGTCACTGTTGGTTTTGTGGAATAACTGAAATATTTTTAGACAGAAAAATTGGACATGGAATCATTGAGCATGTTAAACCCATGTTCAATGGTTCCACGTCCAAATAAGCTCTTCGGCAAAATTTAAAACGTAAAATTTTGAAGACTTTTTGGTTCAAAAAGTAATAATTTTTTGTTTGTGTTTTTCGATAAAGGAAGGTGTTTTATGGGTGAAATATATCAAAAGGAGTGGCCCTGGCACTTAATAACCTCAAACGCTCAAATTACTTGTCAACGCAGTCTACGTGGACTAGAACATATATCCTAGAATTGAGACCGACATGACTTACTTGCACAATCCACTTTATAATTTTTGATCCAGCTTCCAGCATCCATTCCCAATATCTAAAATTTTTTAGTCAATCATCTCTATTTTTTTGCACAAAAATTAAATAAATTTTAGCTCAAATGCTAAACAAACAACATCACTTTGTAAAATTTAATTTTAAAGCAACAAGAGCACAATATTCAAATTTTGATATTCTTTTAACGCTTTGGGCCATGAGACATGATAAAATGATTAAATTAACTGCAACAAAAACAACAACATCGGCAAGCTTTACATAGCGATGATGTCGTCAATTGTCAGAAAAAAATTGTTAAAACAAAAAAGAGAATAATAACAAAAACACCGAAAAAAGTTTCAAACATCTATACACAAATATTTTAAATTGGTATTTCTACTTTCATCAGCATTGTTCTTTTATTGTTGGAATATTTTCTAAAATGCCCCCCTTTGCATTGTTTTCATTTTTTGCTATTTTCTCTGTTTTTTTTTTTTTTAGTTGAAAAATACACTACACCCTCCAAATGTCAGCAATTTGAGATAATTTTTATGAAATTCTAAGCATTTTGATTATCTTTTCCTGTGTTTATTTATTTTATCGAAGTTTTAGCGCTATTCCTTTAAGAAAGTTTGGTTGATGGTATCGCAAATTGAAATTTAAAGTATTTATACCTTACACCACATAGTTGTAAGGGGGTTATGTATAGCATTTTCAGATTAAATGAAACCTTTTGCAATTCAAATGAAACTTTTTGCAGCGGAAATGAAACCTTTTGCAGTGGAATTGAAACCTTTTGCAGTGGAAATGAAACCTTTTGCAGTGGAAATGAAACCTTTTGCAGCGGAAATGAAACCTTTTGCAACCGAAATGAAACCATTTGCAACCGAAATGAAACTTTTTGCAAATCAAATGAAACTTTTAAATTTATAGAAGGAAAAATAACAAAACGTTTTTATTTTTAGTAGTTTTTAAATTAAATCAATTAATTATAACTAATATATTGACAAAGAGTATTTTTTTATTGATTATAAATATCTACATTTATTTATATTATTTCTTACATTTTCAATTATTGTAATAACAAATGGTTCTTTATTGATTTGATATAAAATGCTTCCATATTATTAAATTCCAAATGCTTAACGCTAAAAAGAGAAATTTAAACAAATTTTGGCCATACCATACCTATGCCAGGACTGAAATGTGAAATTAAGCTTTACCACAATTTTTTATAGTTATAGTCTACTATTAATCTTACCTAATAAAGGATTCCCGCTTCGCAGATTTATTGATTATGGAGATAGAGCAGTCGAGATTTCAATAGACAGATAAGTGGAAATCATTAAATCAACTATGATCATGATTGCATATACTGTATGGGATCTGCGACGAATATTTAGAGGCGTTACAAACCGAATGACAAATTTAATATATCCTCCTTTCCATGGAGGAGATTATAAAAGATACCTAATTCGGGTC